AGTGTATGTTTAACTTTCTTTCCCCATTTGTACATATTTATTTCCTAAACACATATCTTTTCTATTCATGTTTATTTCACATGAGAATAATACATATTCCATGGTAATACCTATAGTATTGGCAATAGTGAAAAGAATTATGGTTATTCTCTCCTTAATTTTGGACTAACACAGTACTATTTAAATGTCTAATAATATATTTTTAAAATTATTTTAGATACTTGAATAAAGCAAAGAGTAATTTTATATTTATATTTATTTAAGCGTTTAGGCGAAGGTGATCTTTTAAAGATGTGTGTGAGATGTCACTCATCCGCCTTGTTATTTTTCAGAAAGAATGCTTTGTAGAACTCGGCTTAAGTACAGGACAGCTGGGTATAGATGACTCCACTCAAGTGCCTCCTGGTGAGTATTCCTTCCATATGACTTAGAACCAAGGATAAATGATCAGCGGGAGCGAGTTTAGGGCTTACCTTACTATTTCCAAGTTATGGTGGCTACTTGTATAGCTGAAAGCTAGGCACAGCTTTGCCTCTCTGGTTTACTGTCAGTTATTGAGGAGACTCCTACATGTGACAGCTCTCCAGAGTTCGGCATCGTCCTTGGCGGCACTCACACTCCCCTTCCCTGGCTGCCATTACTGTTCTTTTGTTTCACCGAGTTAAGTGAACACTGACAACACTGGATCTACTACTAGTAGATTTAGCCTTTATAACTATGAATAGCATCTTTTAATCTGAGTCATTGCCATAACTTCTCTTTTTCTTTCCCTCTCTCTCTCCTTTTTTATCTTAGGTTCTTGCCATAGGGCTCCTGTGCTCGCTGGAGAGAGAAAGAAGGAAAGTGAGAAATCACCTCCCGAGGGGCTGGCCACGCCACAGTCCTCTCTTCCTTTCTTCTCTTGGGATCTTGGGCATGCACACATTGCCCGGCATGACTTTTAAGCTGTCCGGGACTCACACTCCAGTCAGCACCTTAACCACACACCACCTGCTGGCCCCCCTAACTCTTCTTTTTTTGTGCATAAATACAGCATACATTTCCTAGACTCCCAAAGTGGTATTTAGCTATGATGAAAAGGAAATGAAAATTGTCTTAAAGAGTTGGGAGACCTGTATTGTAGTGGAGATAATATTAGGTTCTCAGAAAAGTCATGACGTATTTTCCTATGTTTTTCTATGCAAAAATACGTCATGACTTTTCTGACAACCCAGTACTAGATAGGGCAGGGGCCTACTCTAGTCTTCCCTCTGCCACTTTCTAGATAGTGACTTGGGGGAGTCACTATCCAACTTCTATAGTCAAGGAAGTTGGCTGTTTATTATTACTGTGATATAAGTATTGCTGCATATTAGTAACTGATTCCTGAGCACATGCTATTTGCTGCAGGTATGTCTCATTTTAATCTCTTAGCAATTCTAGGAGGTATGTATTATTATCTGTCTAAAACAAACTTGAGGAGAAGCCAGCCTGTGGCCTAGTGGTTAAGGGCGCCAGATCCCCCGTGACTGACTACGTGGTTTGGGTCCAGGACTGGGCAGATTGAGAAAGCGTGCCAGGTGTGTGGGCGTGTGCCCAAGGTCCTGACAGGATGGAGACGGAAGACTAGGGATCGTGACATGACCGCGCACCATTTGGGGGTGATTCCTCGCTCTCCCTCTCTTTCTGTCTCTCTGTTTCTGGAAAGTGCACGTACCCTCTGGCAAAAAGACGAATAAACAAAACAGCTTGAGGAGGTCAGTGGTAATGCAACACTCTGCAAGGCCGATCCCTTCGGGAAAATTCCAGGTTCACTTCCCTGAGTATCCTGGGTGTGCCTGTACTCATGCTGCAGGCAGGGCGGAAGCTGGGCGTGGGCCGTGACATGAAGACACTATTGGGTGCCTGAATCTCTCTCTTATCTCTTTTCTTTCTGTCTCTCTTGCTCATGGAAGGAATAAATAAACTTTTGAAAAAAAAAATCCTTTATTACCACGTGAAGCGTATAGAAAATCCACAGAAGAGTACAGCTCAACGAATTTTCACAAATTGAACACGTCTATGAAAATGCCACCCAGAACAAGAAACAGAAGCCTCTTTCCTTCTCTCTTTCAGTCTCTGTTCTTATTTCAAAGATAATTACTATTCTGATTTCTAGCAGCATAGAATTGTTTTGCCAGTTCTTGAGCTTCATACAAATGGTGTCTTCAATGCGTGTCTTCCTTTGTTCAACATAATGCTTATGGGATTAAGCCAACCTGTGTACCTATTTGAAGATAATTTTCTTGTTTTGCATTGTTTTACTGTACGAATATACCATACATTTTTTGAATTCCCTCTATAGTTTATGGGTATTTGAGAACTTTCAAGGTTGGGGCTATTACAAGTAAGGCTATTATGAACATTTTAGTACGTATCTTTTGATGAATTTATGTGTACTCTTCTCTTGAGTATGAGCCTGGAATTGCAGTTTCTGGGTCCTCAGGGTTGTATATGTTCAGCTTTAGTAGATAACTTCCAAAGAGTTTTCAGAAGTGGCAGCGTCAGTTTATACTCACACCACCAGGGTGTTAGAGTCACTGTTGTAGCTCTTCACTAGTGTTTGGTGTACTCTATCTTCTTTGTCTTAGTCATTTTCATGGCCTGTAGTGGTATTGCATCATGGTTTTAACCATTGTTTAAAAGTTGAAAAAGTGAGGCTAGCCTTATAGTGCAGTGGTTAAGCCCCTGTGCATAGTGAGCCAGATCCCCCATGGCTGACCACAGTGCAATCCCTGCCCTGGTGGCTTGAAAAACACTCTGGGTGCCTGGGTGTGTGTGTCCCAAATCCTGACAGGATGGAAAAATGGAGAACAAAGGATTATGGCATGACTGAGTCCCACTGGGGAAATGTCTCTCTTTCTCTCTGTCTCTCTCAGTCTGTCTCTCTCTGGTGAACACATGTGCTCTCTGGCAACAACTAACGAATTTTGGGTTGTTAGAAACGTTCTGATGTATTTTTGCATAGACAAACGTAGAAAAATATGTTATGACTTTTCCGAGGACCCAGTAAGTAAGTAAAATGGAAGAAGCAGAGATGTTAAGAAACTCGGTTAAGGTCACAAAACTAGGCCATGCACGAGCTGGGATTCAAAACCGAGCCGTCTGCCCCTGAAGGCTGCTGCTCTGCGCTGCCCCCGGTGCTGCCTTCCAGAGCCCGCGCTTGTGTATAAGGCTTCAGAAACTGTACCCACAAAGAAGTAAGAATGCTTCCGTTCGCGGCCACTGATAGCCAAAGGACAGGGCACAATGCCTCACCTTGAGTTAGGTTTTTCACATTTGCAATAGTCTTCTCCAATCACTTACTATTACCCTACACTTTGTAATTGCTGTGCTTTAGAAAATAGTGTATTTCTTAACCTAAAGTATTGTTTTTCCTTCTATGACTCACTTAGAATCCAGCACATGTGGGTTGAGACCCTGCGAAGGGCCAGGGACTGGCGGATACATAGACATAAGGCATGATCTCTGCTCTCAGAAGATGTGGGAGAAAGCAGCCTAGGCTTCGACCCGGGCCTTGCTATTACTGTACTACGTGTAAGGAGCAGCTGAGGCCGAGGGAGGGACCCCTAAAGCGGCCTGGAGGAGGCTGAGAGTCTCTTCATTGATGCAGTTATTTTTTCTTTCTCTACTTTACAAAGCAGAACTGCTAAAAATAGGGTTATGTTAGTGTTCATCCAAGTATGTATTGTTGGGGGTGGCAGTTAGTTTAGTCTGCTTTTAGACGTCCTTGAGTTACCCAATTCTGCCCTGGCCTATTCATCCCTTCTCAGGCTTGCAATGGCTATCCTTCCCTCCCTTCCCAAGAGAACCATATACCCAAGAAATGGAAAATAGCAGCACATTCTTGTTTTATATTTAGCTAGGCTAAAGTTCAATATCGCAGAATAGGTTTTCCAGGAAACTTAAAATCTTAGTCCAGGACGGGTCCCCCTCTTTCCCACGCCCTTGTCTCACACCTGCAGGCCACTGAGCGACACTTGATCGTGGCCCCGAAGAGCCTCCGTGTCAGCTCTCCCACCAGACATTGATCAAGTGTCAGGATGGACGCCAGGGAGACAGGGGGCCCAGGCCGGTGTACCGAGACAGTCCCACGTGCGGTCTTGACTTGTAGCACACTGTCCGCTCCGTCATTCAGAAAGACCATCTAATTACTGTTGGACTCCAGCAAATCCAATCACAGCTCTTCCTTCCTTGGAGGTGGGGAGGACGAGGAAAGGAAGTTGAGCAACTGATTTATTTTCTCTGCAGTGGGAAAAAAATCTGAAAGTTCTTCCGTCCATAGTTTCATCATTTTGTTGTTGTTGTCTTGCTCTGGCTACCTGTCAGTGGCTACCGGGCCCAACTCTATTTTTTTGTTTGTTTGTTTGTTTGTTTTGTTTTGTTTTGTTTTGGTTTTTAAATAGGGTCTTGCTCTGCTGCCCAGCCCAGCCTTCAGCTGACCACCCTTCTGTCTCAGCCTCCAGAGTTGCTGGGATTCCAGTGCGTGCCGCTGCCTCTGGCCCTCTAGTGTGGACTGGCTATTGAAACTAGGCCAGCCCACTGAGCACACGGTTTACACAGTACACACCACCACGGCTGGGCCTGCTCTGCTGTCATTTTAAACGATTTTACAGAAGCATAACATATTCTCAGAAGACACAAACCATAGATACACAGAGTAGTAAGTTTCTACAAAGTGAAAAATATTTGTGCAACCTTTAACCAGACCAAGAGACAGAACATTAACCGGCATTTCAGAAGTCCTTTAGGAACACACCCAGACTCTACTACTCCCGTCGGTAACATCTATCCTGACTCCTAACATCGTAGGTTCGTTTTGCCTATTTTATTGAGTTGTCAGAAAAATCCTGATGCGTTTTCGTATAGAAAACCATAGATAAATACGCCATGACTACATATAGTATACACTATTACAGCTGGCTTCTTTTGCTTAAAATTGTTTGTAAGATACGTAATATTGTATACAGTTCTGCGTCATTGATTCTCACTGAAACATTGTAATCCTTGTGTGGCTGTACCACTACTTAGTCTACTGTTGGTAGTCTTTCGCCTCGTTTCCACTATCCGGGTATCAGTAGAGTTGCTGTGAATAGTCTTGTACAAGTCTGTTGGTGTGCACAGGTGCACGTTCGGGTATATGTCTGAGAGTGAGTTGCTAGTTGTCGTAGGGTAGCATGTTCACTGTCAGCAGAGGTGGCCAGTGTTCCAGCAGGAACACTCCACCAGCTTTGTGGAAGTCCATCTGCTCCATGTCTTTCTCTGCCATTTCAAATGGTCAGTCTCTCCAATGTAGCCATTGCGGTGGGCGTGTATTTCACGATAGTTTTACTGCACTTCTTTCCTGACCAATGTGGCCGAGTACCTTTTCTATGCTTATTGGCCCTTTAGGTCATCTCTTTTGAGGAACCTGTTTAAGTCCTGTGTTCATTTGGTCTTTTTCTACCCGGAGTTCTTTATATGTTTTACATACAAATCCTTTGCCAGATATACATATTACACATGTGTTTTTCTAGTCTGTTACTTACCTTCTTGCTCTCTTAATGGTACTTTTTGCTGGACACAAGTTTTTAAAAAATTCTAATGTGGTCTAGCCTATGAATTTTTATACATTATGATTGGCTTTTTTTTTTTTTTTGAGAGATTTTTGCTATAGGGCACGTGTGCTCGCAAGAAAAAGAGAGAGAGACAGAGAGACAGAAAGCGAGAAATCACCCCCCAGGGAGGATGACCATGCCGCAGTTCCCTCTCCTCCGTTCTCCTCTTGGGATCTTGGGCACGCACACACATGCACCTAGCACGAGTTTAAGCCACCAGATCTGGGACTCGAACCACGGTTGACTGCATGGGAGTCCAGCAACATAGCCATTACGCCAACTGCTGGTCCCATGATTGGCACTTTTCTTTTAAAAAAAGAGTAATCTTTTCCATCCATTCTTTTAAAAAGCATTTGTATAGTGGAATTTTATGTATAGAGTAGAAAGGCTTTTAATTAAAAATATTTTGATAGTAGATTGTAATGGGGATAGTACTTTACAAATGAAGGTATTGGCAAGCTTTATTTTAGAAAGAAATGAAAGACAAAGAAAAGATGACTGCACAGTTTATTTCTGTATATTGTAAGTCATTTTTTATGTTAGCAAAGGAAAAATTAATTTATCAACATATTTTTGATTAAATGCTTTTAACCCTCATTTAATTTTTATACACTTTAAACAACTTAGAAAATAATTTTTTGGACATGTAAGATAGATATCCTTACATTTTCCCATAGTCATCCAGTTTTTAAAATAAAAGTGTCAGTACCAGAAAAAATGTACTCATATTGCTCCGAATGTGGCTGATCATAATTGTGTCTAATTATTTTACTTTACCATTTTTAGAACTCTTTGAAAATGAGCATGTACGTATTGGGCAAAAAGGTAAACTTTTAACTATATTTATTATAATTTCTAAAAATGAAACAATTCTAAATAAACATCTACATTATGTGCTCCTAACTGGAGTTTAATTTCTGAAAATCTACAACCCTGAAGAAGAGTAGTACTCAGCTATTTGGCTAATATAGTGGGGATCTTAATAACGAGGGGGAATGTATCACTGTGGCTTTATGAGTAAATGTCACATGAAGAAGTGCCCACTGGGTCACTGAAAGAAAATGCGGACACACGTCCCTCAGGGATGTTAGCCTCATCCATTCAGCAGCAGAATTCCGTCTGGAAATCAGAGGCAGACTCTGTCTCTGCTGCACCCACGCGCCTCTCGTTAGCCCTAACTGGAGTGCGCCCCTGCATCAGGAGAGAACGTGCCTGGAACCCTTCCCGACGGCCACGCACAGGTGGGACGAAGCGGCCAAAGTGGCTCTTAGTATTCCGAGGGACGGTTTCCCCCATCTTTGGAAGATTCATCTTCTCATTTTTTTATAAACCCTGTTTTGACTTTGAAATGTGAAATGCAGATGAGTCTAGGAGTCAGAAAGAATCTTCTGTGGCAATTATATTGTCATGGACAAACTCCCTAGTTCAGCTTTTCAAAATCATATTTATTTGAAAGACTCGTTTGTTTGATTTGATGTTCTCATTAAATGCAACTGCACATTAAAGAATATGTTTCCTCTTTTTTCATTTTATATCATCCTTTTCTTTCATCTGGTCATGACATTTTTTCTGTATGATTATTTTCCCCTTTCCTCTTAAGAAGAAAATGTTAAAAAAAAAAAAAGTACTGTTAGTCTAATGTATCGTTTTGGTTTGGTTTGGTTTTTGAGCTTTGGTTTTCAGACTGAATAGCTAATGTTTTCATTAAAGGAAAGGAAAAGGAAAGCAAAAAAGCAATATATTAGTGTATGAACTTAGTGACTTAAGAATAACTCTAGCCTTCTTAAAAGATTACCATGTCTTTGTTTTCACTTTAGAAATCTCTCTTCTGTTGATTTTGGCAAATAACTAGGTCATCGAGCAGAACAGATATCTTACATTCTCATGTAATTCTTGGCTGTGGTACTTCAGGTATCGCATTCCTCTCCATATTAGAACATTCATGACATAGTGGAACATACATAGGAACTTTAGGGTTTCTGTAGGCATGGCTTTATTTGACTGTGAAGCCCCAAAACTACTGTATATATTTGATTGCTGGTTTCAGACCCATGGAGCTCTAGTTAAAGCAGAGCGATGGTGTTTACCAGGCTGGGTAGCAGGGGGAGCTGGACATCTGTAGATAAATAGGGACCGGTCAAAGCCAGAGAGTAAAGCAGAATCAAGATTTCTATAGCCATGTCAGACAGAAAGATGAAAGGTGAGCCTCCCAGAAATGGATAGTTCAGGATTTCAGTGATACTTTTTGCAATATGAATTTCCTGACGAGGTCTACGATTTTCTGACAGTTCTGGCCGAACAGGACAGTGCCGCAGCCCAGCAGTACGTCCGGCAAGGCAGCCCCACGGCGCTGAGGGCCGAGCTGTGGGCCCTCATCCTGAACGTCTCCAGCCAGCCCGAGGTAAGGGGGGGAGGGGAAGGG